AACTTAGTATGAAATTTCCAATTGCCCCCATTAATTCCTTGAATAATCATTTCTAATAGTTGAAGACAGTTTAGTAAATTGAAGTTTTATGGAACGAAAATTCATCAGCTGCTTGCACTGTTTCTCGATTCATTTGGCAGTGTAATGAATTTTCATGCTTATCCGCCGACTACACGTTTGGAATGATAAAGTCAGGATTTTTTGACACTTTCAATATTTTACAATACGTAATTGTAGTGAAGAACGGTCAGTTTATTCGAACTTATTCAGTCAAAGCTGAGTACATGTAAAAAGCTTATCATAATTGAAAAACAGAAATGCACTGACATTTGTTTGTGATTGAATCGGCGACCGATGCGTCTTCTTTAAAATCTGAAAATATGCATGCAATCTGAGTACTGCTTGTAAGCACAAGTTTTACGACAGTTGTGCTTCTCTTTTGAATCACACGACATCTTTATTGAAAAAGTTATTTATATGCTAGAAAGTTGAAATTTGAAGCTAAAGATCAAAAAGAAACAATTTCTGAGTTTTTAATACTTCAAAGAGACAGAAATTTAGGTCTAACCTCTGAATAGCGTGGAATTCACTTCTAAAAGTAAGAGCAGCAAAAGCATTACTAATTTTATCATAACTATCAATTAGCTCAACTACTGTGGCGCACTTTTGCCTGAAACAGAATTTGTCGTTGATTTCTAAAGAGCATTATTTTTGACTTTTTCGCGGCAAAATCTTCAAAAAACGAAAAAAAATGGAAAGGATTGAAAAGCAGAAAACAAGCTTGAGCGAAAGTTCATACATAAGTTTGTTATTTTCACATAAGATAATAAGCAAATTTGTGTGAATTACAAATTAGGGATAGTATCGGTCAAAGGCAATGAATGCAAATTGAAATCTTAGGTTAAGTTGGAAATTCACATTTCAGGTTGAGGAATTTCACTAAAATTTCAAATTAATTTGTAACAAACACATTTTTATTAGATGCAAAACCAAAATGGAAGAAATTGTATGCGAAAGCCAAAGTATATTTGTCATACCAATGTAACTTACTTATTTTTATTACTTATAATTGGTTTCTGCTTTTTATTGAATTACAAGACTCAGTTAAGCATTGAATTAGACTATCCATTTCAAATACAATTACAAATTAATGCAAAAGCAATTAAAGCTTAGAGCAAAGTTTGCTTCCGCAAACTGCTCTAAGCTCTAATTGCTTTGCTCAAGTTTGTTTTCTGCTTTTCAAGGAATAACATAAGTACTTACAATGTAGCGTTTAACACTGACAATGTACTATTAATCGACCTCTCGTTGTATTTGCTGTTAAATTATACTCACTTTCAAATTTAAGTAATAGGTAATTGCTGGGCCTAATTTTTTTTAATCACTCATCAAAAGTCATCTTAAACACAAAGTGAAATCAAAACACAAACACATTTTAAGTGATTATACTACTTGGAAATTTGATTATTTTATTATTTCGAATATTTGCATCAAATTAAAAGTAAGAAAAACAATGATGAAAAATTCTAAGATAAATTAATTAGACCAATTCATAAATAAGCTGCACGATCCGAACCGCTTTATTTGAAAATT